AGCAACGGAGAAGTTAGCTTCAACAGAGGTTGTCAGAGTGGGGTATGGAATCTAATTCTCTGGGGAGTTTTAAAAATAGGCCAGTCTCTGTGGGACAGTTTCAGCCTGCGGAGGAGCCTCTCATGTTCCCTTCCACCTCTCCGAGTCTATAGGGGAAAACAAGATCTGAGGAGGCCTCCCGGGCAGGATGAGCTCGCAGTAACTCCGGCTCATTTCTAACTAGAGTGCCTTCTCACCCCATGGAATGAGAAGTATATAAGTACGGGTGGGGTCAGAATGTTCCCTGAGCCACACTCTGTTGGCATTATCGAGACAGGTCTCTCCCTCCACAGTGCCGTCGGCTGAAGAGCACAAAGGATACCAGTTAGTATTGAATGATAGTGCTCTGTCGGATTCCATTTGTCCCATTGTGTGTGCATGCATGCGTGCGTGCGTGCGTGTGTGTGTTTGTGTGAAAATATAATCAGAGAAACTCACTGGAAAGGAAATACGGTTAAAAATCTGGAAAACACACGGAGAGAGAACCTTCATATTCGAGTGAGGCTAGCTCCTAATGTCAAGCATTTGATTCTGACATCAGGTCATAACATTTGGCATTTACGTTTTCTGGGGTCTGAGGTCTATCCAGGATTGTTGTCTGTTGCTGGCAGTTGGAAATTTGCCTCCTAGACAATGTGCTCTCTCCCAGTCTCCTACAGCTACTGGGTAATGGCCGGCTTCTCGCAAGAGGTGAAGAAACAGCAAAGCTGACAGGCACAGTCAGAGTGAGCTTTAAATACCATGCACCCCATCATTTGGTGGGTGGGTGTTGTTGCTAACTGCGCTTCTACTTCAACAAAGAAAGTGGTGAGTTGCCAAAAAACAAGGATGTTCCATCTTAAGGATTGTGCTGAATTCTTTCCAGAGAAGCACTTTTTTTTTTTAAGATGAATTTTATCCTAAAACATTTTCCAAATTTATTTAGGCATTCTATCCAAGGAAAATAATTTAAGTGTTGTGCCATGTAACTAGAATTTGTAGAATTAGAACAACTTTCTCTCTCCGAAGGTCTATCTTTATTCATCAGTGGTCTCTGACGGCCTGCGTGGGGTGGGGTACCTGTCAAGGTCACAGTCATACAGGCTGGCCAACAGATACACTGGACCTGGCAACCTACAGCCTAGCACATTTACAAACAGGTGGTAAAAATATGATTTTGTGGGGTTTTTTTTTTTAATTGTTCTTTCCTCTTTGCCTCCCATAATTACAGCTTTTCTGAAAGGTCAATTTTGTTTTCTTTAGGAAAAAGAGCTTTCCCTTTGTTTCCCGAATACTAAGTTGATGCCCTTCCTTGGAAGTCTTCCCCTTAATTAAGTTGGCTCGAAGGTCACAAACCATAATCAATATGGAGGCTGGTTGCTGCAAGGTGCTAATTGACATCCCCAAAGAGGAATAGTGTCAACAATCAATAGAGAAGAGCAGAGCATTGGTAGATTTATGGCTTTGATTTTGAAAAGGTATGGGAATGCCCGGTGATGTTTCTCTGCTCCCCCCCCCCCGCCCCCCGCCCCGGACTCCTTTTGAATGTTAATGCTTTCTTGAAGATGATTTCCGACTCACTGCTAGGATACTGCCTCTACTCACTGAAGCAGAATCCTCTGAAGAGTTGCGGAGGCAGAACTGAAATCATGGCTTGCCACAAAGCAGCAGCTGTATTGGCCGCTAATGATGCCTCACACAGAAAGACGATGCTCCTTTAACTCGGGGGTTTTAATGGGAAGTTTCTAAGGCTGAAACGACAGCTTTAGATCTGGGGTGTGCCATCAGCGGCTTGCAGATACCACTGTCTCCTGCCTCAACACAGCCTGGTCGGGAAGAATGGAAACTAAAGAGGCTTGTAACTACCTGTAACTGTTCCACCAGGAAATGGATCAAGTGTTTGTTCAGCCAGATTCAGGTACTTGACCAACACCGTGTCTTTGATGGGCTAATTAATGCTTTTCTCTAACTTTACGATGTATGCGTGAGCGATGATGGCAGGGATGCCTTTTGCATCCAAGTTCTGAATTTAGTTCTAGATGTCAGATGAAGTCTAATTAAACAGTTGCTAGGTTAAGTTAATGCGAGGGGGTGAAATGGAATGATGCCTTTATGTTTAAAGCATGCTTAAGTTTACAGTGCTACCGACACTGGATAAAGGAGGAGTAAAACAGGCTCTTTTCTTTGCTAAGCTGCAGTAAATTGTTCCTGAAAGCTATTTGCCCATTACAGTTATTTTTCCGTTCACCTAAAACATCCAACCTTCCAAAATGTTACGGGGATGTTTTAATTTGTTCACAAAGGATCACAACTTAACAACTCCCAGTGATAACGCCGACTGTCCCTGGTGTCCCTGGGTGGCAAGCACGGTGCAGCCCTAGCCTTTTGAGGTATCAGTAAGCACTCTTGTTCACTAGGAAACACGCAAGGACAGGGAAGGCAAGCCGGGGATAACAGTAAGGTTTATCGTTTGAAGAGAAAAGTTCCAGTTTGCTAGTGGTGCCTTTTGGTACCCCCAGTTCCCGATGCGGCACTCACGTGGGATTTTCCTGAGGTTCTCAGCTAGGCTGTAGCCTCGCCCTGCAGTCCCTTTAAAACTCTTCTAGCAGATGTTGGGAGGAAGATGAAGACAGGGAAGAAGTAAAGCTGAGGTCAGGGCTCAGGTTGAAGAGAAAGGTCTCCTGCTGACCCAGAGCTGGCAAGCCAGGACCAAGAGGGTCCACTCCCAAACCCAAGCAGACATCTGCAGGCTGACTTGGCAGTGACAGTTCGAGGGAACGGACCTCCCGGTGCAGCAGTGGAGGCGGGTGACAGTTCCGAAACTGCCTGTTGACATTTGTAGCTGACCACATTCACGTGTGTGTCAAGCCATTGTTTTGGGGCTTTCTAGTAGCCTTGGGTCTATTTGTTGGCTGTGTTAAAGTTCTATCTCTGTCCTTAGCCATCCTGTGAATTCTGAAGCGTCAGGGCTATTGTACTGGATCAAGAGGGCTGTATTCAGGAAAGAAAAATATGGAACTTGCCATGTATTTATGTGAGAAAAAAAAGGGAGGTGTATGTTGGTTAAAATATATGAAGTACATAGAAAGAGCTAGGAAATCTTTACCTGAATTTCTGGGCTAGTCACCAAGAGGGCCATGAGTTCTTTGAATTTATAGGAAATATTTTGCATCCTTGTGTGTATATCCTGGAATGCAAATTACTGTTCCCTGGGCTCATACACAGTAGTTCCACAAGATTCATAGGTAATAACTTTTGTTTATATAGTGATTTGATTCCTTAGATGAGGTAGCTTTTTTCTGGGAGGCTCACAGTTATGGGGGAAGATATATAATAGGGTCGACTGGGATGTTTACACGTCTGGGGTGGGGGGGTTGGGATGGAGGGTGGAGTATATCTCCAGAGACTCTACTTATGCAAACAGCAATGCAGCTGAGGCTTTGTTTAGCTCAAAACGCAGAGATGATTCTCTTTAGCCTCCCTCTCAGCATATGTATTACGTTAATCATTGAAAGGCATGTTAACATTTCAACAGTCAGTTTCAGAACTGTTGCAGAATAATGCAGCACTTGGAGGAACTTCGTCTCTGCTAGTCATTGCAAATTCAGTCTTGCCTACCTAGCCAATTCCCTTCCTGGTACAGTCTGCAGAGTGGTCTCACTAGTCTGCCAGATAAATATAAATAAGATACACGGGATGTCTTTGTAGGACGAAGTGTCCTGTCCATTACACGCGAATGTAAACTCTACAAACCTGTGAGTGTTCTTGCTCAATAGACCCACTGTTTTTGCTCTACTTTTGAAAACATGTCAAGTCACATAATAGGTTTCTGGCCTAGAAGTTTTAAAAAATGAGGTGTGGCACTTAAGTGGTTTAGAGGTACTTAAAATACAGTATTGCTTCACTGCACCCTGCACACCATTAGCAGCTGAGGGATGGCTGACTTGCTACTCATTCCTACACGCTGGAGAGAAAACTTGCGAGTCAGCAGCCTTTGGGGAATGCTTCTCTTCTGGTAACTGATTTTTATGATTTGGGGCAGTTTACTTATAATCTCCATTCCCCAGTGTGCTTGTTTGCATAATAGAAATGAGAAAGAAACCTCATTTTGCACACAAATGGTAGAAAGAGGAAACGCTCATTCATCATCACAGATTTATTGAACGTTCACGATGTGCTAGGCAGGACTTCACATGCACTGCCTCTGTTATAACTATGACCGTTGCAACCCGTTGTGTAAGGGGGGGGGAGTCCATGAGCTGATGGCCAAGAAAGTGAGAGGGTGGGACCAAATGCCTGTGGGCAGCTCCACAGAGCAAGGTGCCAAAGGCACCAAACTAATTCTGTTGCTGTCACTTTAAAAATAAGAAAAGCAATATATCATTGCTTTAAGGTCTATTTTCTTCAGATAAGATAATTTCCCTTACTGTTAAATTGTATAATACGATGTTAACAAAATGAAATGTCCAAAGGATCCAAGCTTGGGAAGGCTACATGTTGACACTTACGGTTTCCAGGTAAGACATCTGGCTTCAGGATATTTTAAACGGCTGTTCTTCCCCAGCAGCAAAGCCAGTTAGCTCCGAAGGGCTTGAGCCCTGAAACAGAAGGGCCACCGCTAATTTTTGTATTTGATGGGACCCGACCCATCAGCCTTGATGCCAAGGAAAATTTAAAAAGGCAAATAACAGCTTTTCAAATCATGAAATCGGAGACTATTAAAGTGTCACTGTGACTCAGACTATCTATGATTCTTTGAAATAAGATCTATTTCAAACACAGGGGTCTGACATCCCAGGCTGGCTGGATGACATGGGCTTTTTTATCCCTTCTTTGTCTCAGCTAGCACCTCAAAGTTTGAATTCAGTTCCTTGGATTGTAAGGGGCCAGAGATTTGATTCAACCTCTATTTTTTAAAAAAAGGCAGTGACCCCAGAACAGCAAGGAATTCCTCAAGGAGCTTGCTATTCAGTAAGGGGACCGAGGTGAACACCCTGCGGAGACGGGTCCTGTGAGAGGTTCTGCCGCAGAAAGCAGGTGCAGGGCTCTTGGGGGGGACAGAGCAGGAAGCACGCCATCCCTCTGGTGCAGGGAGAGACAGAGGCCCCACCGAGGAGAGGAGGTGGCATTTGGTGCGAACCCTGAGGGAGGGAGCGAAACCCACAGGCGCGAATAGAGGGAGGAGGAGGGCATCAGGCAGAGAGCATCATGACTAAAACCTCAGAGGTGGGAAACCTGGCGGGGTTCAAGGAACAGCTCGTGTTAGGTCAAGCTGCAGAGCAGACCAAGTGAGGACGGCCTCCTCAGGTGTCTGCAGACTCCATCCCATGTAAGTCTGTTCTTCTTGGTCCTTGTACTCCAAACCAAATGCAATTTGATCTTTGTTCCTGTTTGAACTTAGGAGAAAAAGAAATTCCTATCTTACAAAAATTCCACTGTCGGAACATGACCTAATTTATCGTCCAGGAAACAGGGCTCTCAGGTCCGGGAGGGACTCAATGGGCCGTTAGGGTCCTTGGACGTTGGGGCGCCAAGGTTTTCTGGAGGGAAGAAGTGGTAAGAACTGAGCTGAGAAGGATGGATCATGGCGCAGTATGTCGGAAGCATGAGGAAAGAAAGAGAGGCCTCTTTGTAAATTATTTTAAGTGGGGCTCATGGCTGAGAGTGATAGTGGCTAGGGCTGAGCTGAACTGCTCACCAGGGGCTTTGTAGGTGATGCAGAGGGTTTTACACTTTGTGACGATCACAGAGTCCAGGGAGCTTGACTCTGGGGATGTGTTATAGGATTTAATACTATTAAATTATTTTAATTCAGTTTTCCTTGGTCCAGTATTAAAATGAGCCTTTATTGTGTCCTGAGCACACACAAATGGAGGTCCAGGGAAGACATGCATGCGCCGTGTGATGGGGAAGCCAGTTAGGATCGAAATACGGCGGTAACTGCGGTTCTCTCGTACTTAAAAAAACCGCCTTTGATTATTATTAACACTTAGGACGGTTATGTCGGAAGTCCTTTGAAATAATTTACTTGCCCAGATTTCTCTATTCGTCTGAAAGGAAGATTTCATTATTCAGGTAGAAGCCGTCGTGAACATTTTACAAGGATCATTTTTTTTTTTAATAATTTTTTTTATTGTTAAAGGATCATTTTTGCCAAAAGGGGACGTTTCACTCCAAGGCAGACATTTTAAAAATGTTGCTGTCTTTGAATACTTGGGGACTGTGGTAGTTCAGTGATTAGATTTATCTCTTTTTCTGCCTCTTCCTCCATCCGATGCTGCCTTTAACTTAAATGTGCTGTGGAGCTTTCCCAATTTGTAAATTACTGATTAGCTGATGGCGGGTTTAAAATCAAGCAGGCTCTTCGAGGGATTTCAATCCGTCCCAGGCAAAGCTGTGAAAGAGCTGGTTTTTCTTCCTGGGTCTCCGTATCCCCGTATCCTTTTCTAACCACCTCCAGATCGGCTCATCTGTACCTCCCATCCCCCACCCTCCCCAGGCCTTCCCTACTGGGCCGTCAGCCTTCAGTGCCCCATGTCTGCTCCCCCTAAACCCCAGTGGCCCCTCATTTCCAGCAAGACCCATCAGCCCCCTTACTACCTACCACATTTCCCCTCCTTCAAGTAAGAGCAGTTTTCCCAGACAAATCCTTGCTAAGTTTATCAGGAAGGGGTTGGAGGGTATATATTTATGTTTTAGCAGGCTTCTCAAAACCTGTGAGGAGGCTGCAGAGAGGGTTAACCATATTCTTGCATCTGCTTTTTAATCAGCATAGGGTGGTATCACTGCAAATTAAAACTGATTTTTATATCATTCTAAGGGTTGGCTTCCCTGGGAAGAAGCCAGGCTCCAGACTCATTTACAGGGAGACGGGAGAGGGAAATGGGGCTGATAACCTGAATCAGGATGACTAGGTTCCTTGCTGGGGCTTCTTGGAATGCTCGCCCATCCCCGTAGACCCCACATGAAGGGCGGGCCAGCTCAAAAACATGAGTTACGGAGGAAGCCTAGGCAGTGTGAGATGATGAGCTAGGAGAAAAGGAGTTGGCATCTTGCCTTGGATGAACGACAAGGCCGGGGACGACTGCTCCTGGGCATCAGGATGGCTCTCATCAAGTGGACGCCGGGGGTGAGAAGGGGAGGACTGAATAAGGTATCGCTGTCTTGGCCGCCCAGCTTGTGGCCGGGGCGTCATCACAGGCTCAAATTGTCCTATGTCTAGTTGTTCACTGTTTTCAATGAACCTCACAGATCCAGAAATCTTTATGTCATATGTTTACACAGTTAATGGGCTTCAATTTTCCTCTAATTCCTTTCTGGATGACATCATGTTTTCGTACAGAACGTCCTGAAAATGCATAGCTATCTCAGCCGTGTTAAGAAGAGACAAAGAAAGGGGCTCTGGCCTCATTTGGGCTAGAGGGAAAATGGACATAGAGTGGGACTCTAGTAAGTCCGTGGGGAGGGCAGGGTCAAAGGGATGGGATGCTCCGTAGGATATGGAAGGACAGACGGGAACATGGTAGGACAGCTTAGGTATTCATTCCTTGAGCAGCACATGACTTTCTTTGGACCCAGGCCTTGGTGAATTTTATACTCGGTACGAACAAGCCTAGTTTGGAGATTTCTTGGGTGTGCAAACGGCCCTTCCTGGAAGCACTAGGGATTCCTGCATGGGAAGCTCTGGCCACCCTTTCCTGCCCCCTCCCCTCAGCCCAGTTATCTGCCGAGAGTTAACACCCAAGGTTGGGAGGGTGCTTAAGAACAAGCAAACCGAACCCAACCCAATCCATCAGCATCCTCTCTGTCCCTAAGGAGCTTCTTTTTAAGAAACACCATCAAATTGTATCCCGATCTTGCTTCAAAACAAAAATGAATGATAAGCAAATCTACCACAACTATTTCAGCCTTAAACAAAATGTAGTCACAGAGCTGCAAGATATTCCTTCCCCCCAAATTGGTAACTCCTTCCTTCCAGACACTGGTTGCAAATCCCTTTATAAACTGTGCCTTAAACTGTGATTTTATAAACTCTGAAGTGTCAACACACATGCAAGCTGTTATTATGACCACTAACGCTATACTTCAAGGCAACAATTAGAAGTTAACAGTAGAAATATTGGGTTCCAGCTTTGGGTCATAATTTCTATTTTTATTTGGTTGCTCATTTTCATTGAACATCATTTCTTTTGCATCCATGTTAATTCCCATAGCTGGCTACTCTCCTACGCAATTTTTCTTGTCAACAGACTCATACCTAGATTTAGTTCAACATCTGAAGTTTTTATGGCCTTTTGTGTATACTACTCCAACTTGCCTTTAAAGACAAACGGTAATATCCATATATCTTCATTTTTCCACCAATAAAATGGAAATGGTGATAACTTATCTTTTCTTTCTCTTCCTCTTTATCAAATGGTTTTAAGCAATAGGAAGCCACTGTGACGCTTTTTTTAAAAAAAATGCAGCCAATCAATTCCTTCTCCCTAGCTCAATTCTCAAGGTGCTTCTCGGGGACAAGTATTGAACCTGGTCTTTGTTTTCTGAAGAAAAAAGAAAAGCAGCTGGAGCTTGGTGGTCAGGGAGTCTGAGATGCCTCCTTTCTCCCTTGGCCCAGGCAAGAGAAAGCAAAGGAGAAGCTTCCTGGCTTCCACGGCCATGTCTGAAGCAAAGCAACTCTTTGTTTTGTTTGTTTTTCTTTTCTGTATACTTTTCAAAGTGTTTTCGCAGACATCCATCCTCATTATGGCACCGTGAGTGAGATACACAGACATTTCTGATTCCATTTTTACGGCTTCGTGACCCCTCCAAGGGCCCATACTCATTGAGCTTTTGGAGGCCAGAGACGAGGGCCCAGAATCCCATACTCCCTGAGAGTTTCTCTGCTAAGCACCTTTTCCAGCCTCAGCTTCCTTCCACCGGGGCTATAGAGGGCTCTGCTGTCTCAGAGCTCGTGGTAGAGTGGTTGACCTATGTTGTATTTAGCTACAGTCTTGGCACATAGCTGATGTTCCATCAATGGTATCATTATGAGAATGATGTGAAAGTCATATTATTAGAGGGATTCTGGAAGAGACTTGGCAGGGGACCCTGGGTTTGGATGTCAAGTTGGCAGCACACCCTGAGGTCAACATTACCTTGCACATTTCTCATCTTCTGTACTCTGGTTGTCTTCCCCGCTCCGCCCTCCTGGCCCCAGGTGCCTGCGCTGAGGACAATCTGGTAATTTCATGCAAGTGTAAAATATTCTTTCCCGTAATGACACAGAATGTAGCATGTCTGGTGAAAAAGTTTAGAGATTCCTCATTTTCTCTGACGAGCAGGACCTGTGAGCATGGAAATCCAGTTGCTCTTTGGTAGTTATCCCCTCTCCTTCCCTTTCTTTCTCCCGCAGATAACTCAGCATCTCCACGGCGCAGCCACCATGATCTCAGCAGACTGATGATGGAAGAAAAGGAAACTGGGAGATCCCGTGCTCCTGCTTCTCTGGACGATGGATGGAGGACAGCCCGTCCCTTCACCCCTAGTGCCCCTTGAGAACGTGTCGGCAGATTCTAGCATGTCTCTAGAGCAGAAAACCACGTTTGTGTTTGTGATTTTGTTGTTCATTTTCTTGGGCATCCTCATTGTCAGGTGCTTCCGGATCCTGCTGGACCCATATCGGAGCATGCCGACCTCAACCTGGGCCGATGGACTTGAAGGACTGGAGAAGGGGCAGTTTGACCATGCCCTTGCTTAGCAGAGGGGGGCAGGAGCCCCTCCTGAGGAGGTGAAGTGCGGCATGTCTTGGTGAGGAATTCTCTTTAGTCAGTGTTCTCAACAAACCAAGTTTTAACAGCACCTGGTCCTAGACTTCCAATCCCTCATTTATTAAACATGCTGTTAGGTTAAAAGCATTTGAAGGATATTGGAGATGAAGGTTTATAATACCCGCCCAAAATAGGAAGGCTTGAATTTCCATGTTTCCTCGGTGAATGAATATTGCTGAACGTGTGCGATGGTGAAAGCAAGAGCCTCAGCACTGACACAAACTTTGCCATAAAATGAAGTGCTCTCCCACCCAACCAGAGAATAAAGAATAGGAAGGATCTGAAATGAATCTGGTCACAGCGCCATGAAGAGCATTCCTCGTTCTGAGCATGTCCCTCAGTTGGTTTATTTGCACGGGAATCTGGGTCCCGGGCAGACAGACTGGGCTGGGTGAACCCGGAGGAGCATTGGGAAGCCAGCGGGTGGGGGGCGCTTAGCACAAATGGTTCCATGCCTGGAGAAGATGAGTGAGGATGATCTCATTTTATTTCTCAAGTACAACTGAATTCAAAGGCTTATGGAGGTTTGAAAACTCTCCACCAGGCCAAGTACATTCTAGGTATTCATATTAATTAGCAGTGTAGAAGTAGCTATACATAACCTGAATTGACTTTCTTGACACAGATGATTGAACTAATGGGTTGTGAGTGCAGCTACGAGTTGTTGTTGTTGTTGTTTGTTTTTTTCTAATGAAAAGTTAATTGTTTAGAAGAGAAGACTGTCACAGTCTTAAGAGGAATGTATGTTTGTGATGGAATAGAGCAGCCAAATAAAACTTCTCAAGAAACGGTAGTGTCTCCTTTCCTGTTTCACTGAGACCAATGTACTGGTGGCAGTGTGTGATACCGAGCGCGGAGGACGAGCCGCATTCTGAGAGACAGAAAAAGCTGCAAGGTCATCGAGTTCATCCCTCTCCCGTTTCAGAAAGGGCTCCCACACATCGTCCTGCGCACGTACAACCTATTCTAAGCACGATTTAAGACCACCGAGAAAAGAGCGATGTGAACACTTCTTATTCCAACTCCTCTTGGTAGGAAAACCTTGTCTCTACGCTAGACCCCTGAGGCTGTATCTATAATCTCTGTCTTCTAATTTTCTCCTCAGCCAGCCATCCTATTTTTTTATTAATTGAAAAAGTTCAAAAAGTCAACTATGCCTGAAAAAGCAGCCCTTCGTAAAATTTCGTCCTTGTCTTCCTTTTTTATTTTTATTTTTTTAACATTCTTTGGAGGGTCTGCTGTCTAGATTTCCCCTTCCCCATGTTCCACTTGACTTTGTTTTTAAAATTTTTTTAAATTAATTTTTAAAAAGTAATCTCTACACCCAAAGTGGGACTTGAACTCACAACCCCAAGATCAAGAGTCACACACTCTTCCAACTGAGAGAGCCAGGCATCCCTCTTGACTTTTTTTATTTAAAAAAAAAAAAAGTAACAGCTCTATTGGAATATAATACACATACCATAAAATTTACACTTTGAAAGTGTACAATTCAGCAGCTTTTAGTACCTTTCCAGAATTGTGTGACCATCACCACTGTCTAATTCAATTCTATACCCACTAGTAGCGACTTCCCATCCCCTTCCTCACAGCCCCTGGCAATCTCGAATCCACTTTCTGTCTCTATGGGTTTGCCAATTCTGGAAATTTTATTTAAACGGAATTATAGAATACGGGGTCTTTTGTGTCTGGCTTTTTGCACTAGCATGTTTTCAAGGTCGGTTCATCCATGTGGTAGCATTCCTTTGCAGGGCCAAATAATATTCTATTGTTTGGCTGTACCATGTTTTGTTGGTTTATCGGTTGTCACGGTTATCCAGCGGCTGGTATGAGTACTGCTGTGAACATTTGTGTCCAAGTCTTTGTGATATTTTCAGTTCCCTTGAGTATATTCCTAGAAGTGGATTTGCTGGGTTATATTCTAACTCTATGTTTAACTTTTTGAAGAAGCTGAGACTGTTTTCCAAAGCGGTTGCATCATTTTACCTTCCCACCAGCAATGTATGGGGCTTTTGGTTCTTTTCTTAACTCCAATGACCCAAATTTCTTGTTTAGCTATAGACTTTATAATGGAACCCACCACTTCAAGAATGAGTCATATTAAAAGGAGAGAACCACCTCGTGGTATCTACATACTGCTAGTTTACTGATGCTTCCGAAGATCCTTTGCTTCCAGATCTAAAGCAAAACAGTGATGCTGATCTGCAGTCATCCCCTGGTCTGTGGTGTCACCTGAATATTTTTTTGTTTTACTAATACATATTTTTTTAATCCACTAATTAAAAAGTTTTCTTTTTTATTCAAATGTCCCACATTCCATGTGTCCCTATTCAATTTTTTCCTGTTTTATTGGGTCTCTTTAAACCCATTCAAGTATTTATGAACCACCTACTTTGAACCTGGCCTTTCTGGCACAGGGCCGGTTCTTGCTCTTGAGTACCTTTCAACCTTGTTGGAGGCCTAAGAAATGAAAGAAGGCATGGGTCTGAATCCTTGTGACCGAGATGGACTTATGGTTCCCATACTATCAAAATCATCTGGGACCTTAAAAAAATATATATGACCCCCCCCCACTAATTGTTCTTATAAAAGTTGTACATGATCGTGGTAAAAATGTATAAACATCATGCAAAAATATAAAGTAAAAATCCATAGTCAAAATTCTGCCTCCTTAGGTCACTCTAATTCCAGTTTCTCTAGGGGAGCTTGTTGAAAATGTAGAGTGCTACAGCCTTCCATCCCTAGAGGTTGATTCTGTGGAGCTGGGTCGGTGACCAAATGCTGTGGGAGACAGAACACGGGAGCGATGGACACGGGCCAAGACAATCAAGGAACTCTCCCGGGACACAACGATTCAGGTGTGATGGTACATGTTTAAATGTTTGGTGTAAGGCTTTATGCAATGGAAGTCATTATTATGAAATAAATTATATCTTGACCTAATAGGATGGAGATGTTTGGGGTATATGCAAAGGAGGAGAGGAGGGAAAACAACAGAGTAAGGAAAAGGGGTGTGGGTGTGGAGCCTGCAGCCAGGAGAGCAGCCTGGCTGGGGAAGATGGTTGGGGCGTAGCTGGAGCTTGTATGGAAGGGATAAAGGTGAACACCAGAGTGTCCTTAAAAGCAAAATGAAGTGTGGGAGTCAGTGCAGGTTGGCGAGAAAGAAAATGACACGAAGAGTGGCTGTCAGTTCCAGTTTGTGTAGGCTTCCTCAGGGCAACGTGGGGATCTGCTTCTATAATGGGAATGGACTGAAATAGCCACCTGCCCTCTGAGGCTTGGAGCCCAGGACTGCCAGTAAGTGCAAGGGAGCCTCCCGAAGCCTGCTCTTCTTTCTTTCCTCCCTTCATTCCCCGCTCCGTTTCTGTTTTTCCTTCTCAGATTACTGCTCCTTGTTCAACCTGCCCTCACTGGGTCTCCCGTGCTCCACCCCTCCCTTGTCCAGAGCCAGAGTACCATAACAAGTGATAAAAAGCTTTGGGCTATTCAGAGTAAATCGATCCCTCTGGTGAGAAGTGCTAACTCTCTGTTTTAATTACTCACAGCTCCTTGGGGTGAACAGCATATTCTCGAAAGGTCACATAAGCCCTCCTTTTCCCGGCTTTCTGGCTTCAGGAGTTACAGTGCAGCATTGTGCCTACCTTACAAGATATTTATAACAAGTGCAGCCGCCCTTTATCGTGTATATATCTGCGTCCCAGGAGGAAGAAATTACTTCCCCAAGGTCACTCTGGAGTAGAGCTAGCTGCCTTTTGATTCAGAAAAATGTGGCTAAATCATGCTCTGAGATCTATGCCCGGTCTATGCCCCCAAGGGACCCCAAGTTCTAGATCAACATTGCTCCCTCCAAGAGACCTTTTTTAAGTATCTTAAGCATGGAGCAAAGTAAGTCCGACATGGGGTGTGAAGCAGATTAACTTGACTCCTGCTGTTGAAGTAATGAACATTCCAAGCCAGATCATTCTTTTACTATTTTTAAGGGTTAAAGCTGAAACAAAATAAGCAACAGTTTTAGGAGGCAGAAGTTGGAACAGATGCTTAGGTATGTAGGAAAAATATGCATTCAAGTTCCTTTTTTATTGGCTTCATTGCATAGTGTTTTATTGAAACCCTGAAGCTTTCCTATTGTAAATATATTGATAAATTTGGGGAGATGAGAAATTTTACTTGCCCACCGTAAATCATTTTTGAAAAACCCTGTAGTGAAGAAGATGTCAACTTCCCAAACTGACATGTAAAACATATTGAAACACAATTATTTTCAAAAAAAAATAAAAAATTTTAACCCCAGAGCCCTGAATAAATTCTGAGATCTGATTTATGAGATTTGAGGGTTGGGTCTTCTGAGACAAATTATGCACAGGATGGAGTCTTAGTTGTTGATTAGTCACAAAGTTGTAGAGTAGAGCCATGATCTCCGAAGTGCCCAAATCACTAAATGTGTATATGCAATCTGGGATTAGGTAACCCGTGCCGGAAGTTATTTGCTCCTTGTGAGGCGTCAAAGAAAGACTCCCTAATCTTGGTATCTCTTGTTTCTTAAAAGAATCAATGAATGATTACCAGAGAGATATCTACCTCTTCAAAAGCAAGGCTTCCCCATTCCACAGCGTGGGTTGGCCCGATGAGCCAGGGTCCAACATTTCAGCCAGTCTAGGGTCCTTTCCAAGGTCATTTTTGAGAATAGCATTCCCTGGCTGGATTGAGTATAGAATGGAAATTTTGTTTCCAGTTTCCTGCCATAAACTACACTCATGTCTTGTCACAAACACCACGGGATACTATTGTATCCCTCCATCCTGGAGCCTTTCCCACTATCCTGATTGAAGTTGCTGTGCTTTAGGGTGGGAGAGGTTCCCTTTAAGCTATCGTTCAAAGGTGATTTCCACTCTCGCTTTTTCTCTAAGCCCTATTGCCCAGCCTAAGAGCTCCAGATTTATGCCAGCTTTCAAGAAAGTGGCTCTCCCTGGATTCTTTGGAGCCTGAAAAGCTAGAAAGAAACATTGCTGCTGTCTATTTCAACCCCCTCACTTTGCTTATAAAGAAATAGAGAGGCCAAGAGGTCAAAGGGCATGTTCTGTCATCTCTACCTACTGGTTATAGCTCCATCACCTCACGTAAGTGGTATGAAGAGGAACTCAACCAGAATGGGCGGGTGATAAATCCACGAAGTGAAATAATGTCCATGTTCTAATTGTCATGATGGTTATTCTTAAATAATCTCTCTCTCTCTCTCTCTCTCTCTCTCATTCTCTTTTGGAGGGGGACACAAACATTTCATTTCTTAAAAAAAAACAAACAAAAAAAACCCTATGGATACTATATTTTCC